CTTTCATCTCCTTGGTTTGCAGCTGACTACATCGTGCTCCAGTTCGGCCGGGTGGCCTCTGATGTCTTCACCATGGATTACCGATTCCCCCTCTGCGGGCTTCAGGCATTTGCCATCTGTCTGTCCAGTTTTGATGGGAAGCTTGCTTGCGAGTAAAAAAGGCCAGGCCAGCTCAACCAGATTTTTTACGCCCAAACCTTGTGGCTTTGCTCCAGAGGGCTCCCTGCTGCCTCGCAAAATCAGACAACATTCCTTACATTGCCAGTATTGCTCATCTATGTCCTTCCCATTTTTATTTTTATTTTGTTAGGCTGGATTTCTACACAGTCTGTTATTGTCAATCTGTACGCTCTTCCTCCTTTCCATTCCAACTAACTTTCCTTGCCAAGCTTTCGTCATCATTCCTAAAATCTTTGATTTCTCTTCCATTTTCCATGTTGATTTTCCATTCGCTTGGACTTTCCATTCTAGCCAACTTGTTTCCTCTCAGGCCACATTGTCTTTAAACATGATTTCAGACTTGTCCTGCCCTCTCTTGCACTCTCTCCCCCTCCAAAATGAATTCAGGAACACCAATAGAATACCAACCATCTCACAAGATGTGGAAGATAGCTCCATTATTGAACAAACACCCATTCATAAACAGCCAGTTCTGCCAGCTGAATTATTTCAGATCAAAGGGAGGGGCAGCCAAACAGATGGGAAGGAGCAGCTATATTGAAACAGTGGATCGAAGCTGCCACCCTGCACATCTTCCCTTCTTTATCAAATTGCAAATAAAACTTACTCAGAAACCAAATTCCCTGTTGACTTCTTTCTGGGAAGGGGTAGATTTACTTCCAGAGCCATTTCTGAAAGCCATAGATTAAATGAAAAGGGAAATATTCAAAATTGCCTCTAGGTTTTTAGGACTCACAATTACACTGAAAGAGTTAGGTGTATGTTCACCAGTACAAACTTGCCCCATTGTTTTCAACGAAGCATGCAGCTGGATCCTACATATGGGTGAATTGTGCTGCATTTCCTGAGCTGGCTTGCTTATTTACTTATTTGATTTTTATCCCGCCTTTATTACTTCATAAGTAATTGAAGGCAACAAACATGTCTAATATGACTTCCTCCTCCTAAAGTTAGTCCTCGGCTCACGACCACAATTGAGCCCCACATTTCTGCTGCTAAATGAGATGTTTGTTAAGTGAATTTTGCTACATTTTATGACCTTCCTTGCCTCAGTTGTTAAGTGAATCACTGCAGTTGTTAAATCCAGCTTCCCCACTGACTTTGCTTGTCAGAAGGTCTCAGAAAGGGATCACATAAGTCTGGGACACTGCAATCGTCATAAATATGAGTCAGTTGCCAAGAGCCTAAATTCTGATCATGTGACCATGGGGATGCTGCAAATGTCATTAAGCGTGAAAAACAGTCATAAGTAACCATTTTCAGTGCTGTTGTCACTTTGAATGGTCACTAATGAACTGTTGTAAATCAAGGATTTTCTGTATTTTCCCCGTAATAACAAACCTGTGAGAAAGTGACTGGCCCCAAAGTCACCCAGCCGGCTTTCATACCTGACATGGGACTAGAATTCACATCAATGATGGGATTCAAAACATTTTACTACCGGTTCTGTGGGCATGGCTTTGTGGGCATGGCAGGGGAAGGATATTGTAAAATCTCCATTCAGAGGTGGGATTTGCTGGTTCTCAGAATTACTCAAAATTTCCGCTACCGGTTCTCCAGAACTGGTCAGAAGCTGCTGAATACCACCTCTGAGGCAATGGGTACCAATGGCAAGAGGCTACAGGTTTTACACGATATATCGATTTGGCTCCCAAGTGAAATCCTTGGTCCTACTGAACATAAGTGGAAAAGGCAAAAAAACAACAAAGCACCATTGCTTTTGGTCAAGTGAGATCCTAGAATCAGGTTTCCATTCAGTTGTATGTTTTCTGCAAGATAATTCACTAAAAGGGGAGAAAAGAATCCATTATATCTGGGAGACATTTGGTTGAAGAAGGATAAAAGAAAGTAAACCTTGGAGGTGCAGTGGCTAAAGTGCAGTATTGCAAGTAAAATCTGCCCACAGCCTGTGTTCAGTTCTGACAGGGCTCAAGGTTGACTCAGTCCTCCATCCTTCTAAGGCCAGGAAAATGAAGATCTAGATTGTTGGGGACAATATGCAAATAATGCTACATTTTAAATAGCCAAGTACAGTAAAGTGCTATAGGATGTATATAAGCATAAATGCTATTCTTGCTATTTGTACTTTTTAGCTTGGAAGGGAAAAGTCATATCTAAAAGAAGTTTATGACATATCCAATTCCAATGTTATAGGAGAAGTGGTTGGATAGCGTTTCTCTGCAGGAGTTCTCAACCTTGGCTACTTCTACTGCAGTGTTCTACTACAGTAGTCTTCTACCATTGTGTTTCTCACTGTAGTGATTTCTACTGCAGTACTTCTGCGGTAGTGTTTCTCAACTTCTATTACAATCTTGGCAACTTCAAGATGTCTGGACTTTTAACTGTGGCGATCTATTTTGCAGCATTTCTCAATCTTGGCAATTTCAAGAAGAGTGGACTCCTACTGCAGTGTTGTTTATCAACCTTGGAAACTTCTACTGCAGTTTTTGTCAACCTCGGCAACTTCAAGATGTGTGGACTTCAACTCGGGGGCGGAGGGGGGGCGGGGTAGTACCACATTGGAGGTGGCTACTAGATTGATAGCAAATCCCACCTTCCTCCTTGCTCTCTGCTTCCCCACCCATCTATATTTTATTTTCATATTGCGGTATTCTCATTATTTTATTTTTCATTATTTATCCTATTGTTCCATTACTTGGCTATTGTTGTATTTCTACTTCTTTTCATTTATTTTTATTGTTGTAAGCTGCCTAGAATAACCTCATTGGCAAATAAATTTAACAAACAAACAAGTAACAATATAAACAATTGAGTGTAGGAGTTCTCATTCCATATCACTGACTACTTTAATTCTCCCTCCACCCTCTTCTCAGGCTTCTTAAATCAACCCTATAATATTTTATAAATTGCAGAAATCAGCACTGGTACCTATGATGTAATCAGGAGAAACTCTCCCCAGGGCATATTCAGAGTGCCAAAGCCTGCCCACATCATTTTACTCCAAATTGTTCTCCCCACCCTTGCGTCTCAGAATATTAGTTTCCAGGACGGAGATGGTTTCTTAAACAAATCTTACTTTTAACATTTATATTACCTTCATTGTTGTAGTTCCACGCACAGGCTGCTTTGAATGCATAATCCAGAAACATTTACATCTTTGCCCTACTGCATAACATGATGAAACTTGACTCAAGTAGTCCTCATCTTCTGACCATAATTGAGCCCAAATTTCAGTTGCTAAGCAAGACATTTGTTAAGTTAATTTTGATCCATTTTATTATCTTTCTTGCCACATTTGTTAAGTGAATCACTGCAGTTGTTAAGTTAGTAACACGGTTGTTAAGTGACTCTGGCTTCCCCATTGACTTTGCTTATTTGAAGGTTGCCAAGAGGTGATCACATGACCCTGGGACACTGCAACACTCATAAATACATGCCAGTTGCCAAGCACCTCAATTTTGATCATAGGGATGCTGCAATAGTTGTATGAAAAGTGATCATAAGTCACTTTTTCAGTGCTGTTGTAATTTGGAACAGTCGCTAAATGAATAGTTGTAAGTCAAGGACTATCTGTACAGACAAAGGAAAAGGTGGGTGGAACGTACTGCTACTCTCTTTAATGAAATTGAATGGGATGAAATCTGATGGACTATTTTGGAAGAATCCTCCTTACAAGAACATCTTCAGCTATATCAATGTGTTGCCCTTCTACTATTTTTAGAAGGAAACTCTGCTCTCTGTGTCATAGTTTGCAGAATGCTGGTGGGTAGTGAACAACTGAATTTTTTAATCTCTCCTCTGTGATATTAGTATCCAGAAGTGGACCAGTAAGTGGCAGCAAAAAGATAACCTCCACACACACAAAATATTTGCTGACATCTAGTGGTGAGCTTGATGTTTGCAGCCCAGATAGTTTGTATGCTATTGATTTTCTATTTAACATACCAAAAAGATACCATCCCAGTCCAAATCAGGAAGGGAGAGGGAGGGAGGGTAGGATTCAAATTTTTTTACTACTGGTTCGGTGGGCATGGCTTGGTGGGCGTGGCAGGGGAAGGATACTTACAATCTCCAGTCAGAAGTAGTATTTGCCAGTTCTCCGAACTACTCAAAATTTCCGCTACCAGTTCTCCAAAACTGGTTAGAACCTGTTGAAAACTACCACTGGAGGGAGGGAGGGAGAGAGAGGGAGGGAGGGAGAGGAAAGGAGAAGGAGAACAGGAGAAAAAGAAAAGAACAGATACATAATATATTGTATACAGGAAGTAATCTATCCTGATGTTTAAACTTTGGCCACATAATGAAATATTGACCAATCTTTTAATTACATCAACAGCCAGCCAAAGGCTGTCCCCTATTAGCAGCTTTACTTATTTCACCTCCAAATATACTTCCATCTCAGCATCTTCCCAATGCACCTTGCAGCCTTTAAATGTAGGGGATACAATGGCAGTAGGCTAAAACAGGAGCCCAGCCCCCAAACCAGGGCTGAGTGTCGTCTGTGACGGGGTCAAAAGGCCACTTCATCACATTCTAATTGTGTTCACAATGCTTTGCTGTGATGAAGCAGAGAGGATACTTAGTTAAATGGATCCCAGGAGACTGACTGAATCAGAGGTAGCTCCAAAGATTTCATCTTCCAGCACTCTGAGGTTCAGGGTGGGCAGGCGGGCAGGCAGTTCTTAGCTAAATGGTCCCTGAGTTTAATTCACTCAAGTGTGGGTTCCTATTTTTGCCATGTACACATTCTCCCTGAAAATTCAGGTTTGGTACTCCACCCCAAACACAGAGAGAAGCAGCCATGCAGGGCGTCTCCCAGCCCCAGAGCTATCCTGCCCCCTTTTCAAGTCACAGGTTCCTAAATGTAGGCAGCTGCCGATTCAGATTCTTCATACAGAGGAGGGAAAGGCAGAACAGAAACATCTCAGTTTTGTCAGCTATCAAGACACCCAAAATTTTCCATGCCTCTCTGCTGGGGAATCTGCTCTGCTGGGAAGATTTCCCACGACTTCATTGTGGCCTTGAAAACCCTGCCAGCAGATCACAAGGTTGTATCACCTGCTGAGAATGTGTGAGAGTGTGAGAGTGTGCTGGTATGGGGAGATGGTTGGTTTTCTTCTGAAAAAAATGGTGCACCTTAAAAAAGTTGCCTGATATTCAAAATGTAGCCAGAAAAGCTTTTTTTTAAAAACACAAACACTATAACATGGGGCTGCAGGAGATTTTTTTTTTAAAGTATCTATAGCTCTGCCATGGAAAATCTGTTTTTGTTTTTTGTTTTGTTTTTATAAACAAGGACTTGGGCTCAATTGCTGGTAACAGGAAATAAAGAAGACCTTTCTTGAAGAGTAGAGCGCCTCTGTTAGCTAAAGTAGACTGCTGCAAACTAGATAAATAGCTGAATTTAGTGTAAAGGCTTTGCTGAGTGAAAAGGTTGTACTTGTTTAGCAGGACGTACTGTAGTTTCCATTTAAAGAGTCCCAAATTCAATCTCTGGGTTCTTAAAGCAAGCATGAGAGGAGCCTTGCCTGAAACCTGGGATTGCAGTATCCAACCAGGGTTGTCGGACTGCATAAATAAGATTGGTGTGCTGATTTTATATAAGCCTCCCACATTTCCGTATTCCTGCTTCCCACGCAGAATCAACAACCAGCAGTCAACTACCACTGCACTGTCTCCTAATTGCTCTTAAGGGATATCACTGGCCTCTTATATCAGTATTTGTATATTGGCTATTTTCTGCATCTCCTTAAGAGACTCATATGTGTGTGTACAGTATGATACACCTAGAATAGGGCCAATCTGTTGTCCTGATTAAACATGCCAAAAGAATAGCTGGGTTTCCTCAGCCCTGAAATTCAGCTATTCATTGGTCCATCTAGGAGCAAATCTGCTACAGTTGACTTTGCCCAAATAGCACTTAGCAATAGCATTTAGACTTATATACTTCTTCATAGTGCTTTCCAGCTCTCTGTAAGCGATTTACAGCACCAGCATATTGCCACCAACAATTTGGCTCCTCATTTTACCGATCTCGGAAGGATGGAAGGCTGTGTCAAGCTTGAGCCGGTGAGACTCAAACTGCCAAACTGCTGGCAGCTGGCAGTCAGCAGAATTAGTCTGCAATACTGCATTCTAACCACCACACCACCACGGCTCCATCCAGAAATCCTCTTCAGGTTTGCAGAAATCCAGAAATTATTGAGAGAACAAATTTTAAAAACTTGTATGGTTGAGGTGCCACTCCCTTCCTCCAAAACCAAACCTATCTAAGCCTAGCATTCTTGGGGATTATAGACTGATGGGAAGCAACTTACTTAAAGAAGGTAGGGATGGAAGTTGATGGTCTTCATATCTCTAATGCAATACCATGTTGCCTCCTGGCCTTTCACTACTTTGAATTAAAACAAATCAGTACATAATTATGTCAAAACTCCCCTCAGCAATCAATTAAGACAGTATTCCAAGATATCACTTCGGACTATGCTAGCATGAGCTAAAATTTCTCATCCTATTACAGTCATTCACTCTTTCTGAGAAACTATTCTAATGCTTCTCTTTCCTCTGGAGAGCTAGCAAGAGATAACCTTATCACTTTCAAGATCAGTTAGGAATCTCATTAAAAAAATTTTTTTTTAAACTGAGACAGTGCTAATTATCAAGCTGTTGTACCACTCCTATCTCAGTCATCCTCTAAGAAAAACAAAACAAATTGATTCACCATCCCAGATTCTTTTCCTTGCACCCCAAGTGGAAAAATGAGTTAACTAATTTGGTTGCAGCAAGACCATCTATATGGTTCCTGATTGACTCCAGCAGGAAGAACAAAATGGTTGGGATTGCTTAAATGAACTATTTAAGTGCAGGATTACCTTTAACTAAATACAGGTAGTCCTCAGCTTACAACAGTTCATTTAGTGACCATTCAAAGTTAAAACGGCACTGAAAAAAGTAATGACCATTTTTCACATATATGACTGTTGTAGCATCTTCAGAGTCATATGATCAAAATTCAGATGCTTGGCAACTGACTCATATTTATGATGTTTACAGTGTCCCAGGGTCATGTGGTCATCTTTTTTGACCTCTTGACAAGCAAAATCAAGGGGAAGCCAGATTCACTTAACAGCCATGTTACTAATTTAATAACTGCAGTGATTCACTTAACAACTGTGGCAAGAAAAGTCATTAAATGGGGCAAAACTCATTTAACAAATGTCTCACTTTGCACCAGAAATTTTGGACTCAGTTGTGGTTGTTACATGAGAATTACCTGTACTGCAATCAACCACAAATACTGAAATGAAAAATAAAATAAAATGAGCTATATCTATAATTTGATACACTTCTGTGCTTCCAAACTTCTGTGCTCCTCAATGGCTGTTCCTACCTTTCTATCATAATGGAACTAACAGTTCCTATGATGCATATTCCCTTTTGATCAAGTGCAAGGATGAATTGAAAATTCATCATCCTTAATCCCTTCCCTGAGTACTGGGAGGGCTAATTTTGGGTAAAAACAAAAAAACCCCACAATGTCCAACTTCATTTAATTTGGCTGCTTTGTCTTCTTTTCCAGATAGTTGCTATTGCTTCTAGCAAACTCGAGCGTGCCCAGGAATATGCCAGACTCCATGGCATTTGCAGAGCCTATGGCTCTTATGAGGAACTTGCAAAGGATCCTGAAGTGGGTGAGCTGAAAGGGACCTTGGGGACAGAAAATCAGTTCCAGAATGAGTAGGGCAGGGTTGTGGTAGACAGCGACTGAAATACTCTCTCCTGAGGGGATTTAGACTTGAAATTAAGAGGAATCAGTTTAGGAAGACATATGCCAGATGTTTAAGCAGCTGGGTGGCCTAATGGTGAAGACATTCACCTCCCACTCAGAAGGTTGAGAGTTCAATCCTAGGTAGCAGCAGATGTTTCACTCTTAAGGTGCAAAGAAAAAAAAATGCTGTGAACTCCACATGGTGTCAAGGATGGCATCCAGCCAGTAAATCCTCAGCTCCATCAAGTCACCCAACTCTATTCTGAATTAAGGGATTACAGGGTTATGTCAGATGTTTGTCTAACTCAAGGATATCCAAACTTGGCAACTTTAAGACTTATGGACTTCAACTCCCAAAATTCCTCCTCCAATCATGTTAACTCAGGAATTCTGGGAATTGAAGTCTACAAATCCTAAACTTGCCAAGTTTGAAGACCCTTGGTCTAACTCAATGTTTGTCACCCATGACAACTTGAAGATGTGTGGTCTTCAACTTCCAGCATGCTGGCTGGGAATTCTGAGACTTTTGAAGTCCATACATCTTCAAGTTGCTATGATTGAAAAACTTTAGTCTAATCTCCAAGTTATTCAAGAGATAAAATATGAACGAAAGCACTTAACTGTGGCAAGAAAGGTTGTAAAATGAGGCAAAACTCACGTACCAAATGTCTCATAAATTTGGAGTTTAATTGTGGTCATAGGTCGAGGACTATCCGTATTTGGACTCTCTCTGTGGAGGCTCAAGGAAGGATGGAAGGAAGGGAAAGAGGGAGGGAGGGTGGAAGAGAGAAAGAGAGAGAGAGAGAGAAAGCACATAAGAAGATTCCTAGACTACAGTGAGATCCTGGTCTCCTCCTCTACTTCTCTTTCATTTTCTGTTCATTTGCTGAGATGACTTCTGCTCCCCACTCCAGATGTGATCTATGTGGGTTCTCTCAACACCCAGCATCTTGGTCAAACCACCCTTTTCCTCCGGGCTAAGAAGAACGTTCTCTGCGAAAAACCCATGGGCATGAATGCCCGTGAAGTACGGGAGATGATACGGACAGCTCGGGAGAATGATGTCTTCCTCATGGAGGTAGGGAATGTAACTTTTTAGGAAGCCAGTGGTGGGATTCAAATTTTTTTACTATGGGTTCTGTGGGCATGGCTTGGTGGGCATGGCAGGTGAAGGATACTGTGAAATCTCCAGCCAGAGGTGGTATTTGCTGGTTCTCCAAACTACTCAAAATTTCCGCTACCGGTTCTCCAGAACTCGTCAGAACCTGCTGAATACCACCTCTGAATCAAGCTCTGGTTGGATTCACACATTGTGCTATACTCATACGGGGTTTCTTTGAAATTCATTTTTAGCATGTGATGTGAACTCACATGATAGCTTAGAAGCCATCAGAGGTGCACAAAAAGTCTAGACTTTTTTGAGGAATATACTCAAGTACTTTTTTGCCACTTTATGACTGTAGAAAAACTAAGCTTTAAAAAAATCCACTAGATATAAATTGGAAATCATACTGTATTATATTTAGATAGAGAACAATTGGGGATGGATATATTATTCTTAGTACCAGTCGTCCAACTTCCTTCCCTGCCCCAATTTTAGAAGGCTTCTTTTGTTGCTAAAAACAGTTGCAAGAAAGGAGAGATTTTACTGTATGTCTTTGGGTTCACACCAAGAAACTATTCAGCTTATTTTATAAACCTAAACATGCATTATATTAAATTTTGAAAGCGCATATGTAAAATACGGATAGTCCTTGATTTACAACAATTCATTTAGTAACCGAAATTACAACAGCACTGAAAATATTTACTTACGACCATTTTGCATACTTAAGACTGTTGCAACATCTCTATGGTCATGTGATCAAAATTCGGATGCTTGAAACTGAGTCATATTTATGACACTTGCTGTGTCCCAGGGTCGCATGATCATCCTTTTGACCTCCTGACAAGCAAAGCCAATGGGGAAGCCAGATTCAGGGTTAGGGTTAGGGTTAGGGTTAATAACTGCAGTGATTCACATAACAACTTTGGCAAGAAAGATAATAAAATGGGGCAAAACTCATTTAACACATGTCTCACTTAACAACAGAAATTTTGGGCTCAGTTGTGTTTGTTACTCGAGGATTACCTGTATCGAAATTAAACATGAGTACTGAAATGAACAATAAAATAAAGTGAGCTCTATCTATAATTTGATACATTTCTGTGTTTCAAAACTTCTGTGCTCCTCGATCGCTGTTCCCTACGTCTTGGCAACTAACTCATCTTTATGATGTTTGCAAGGTCCCAGGGTCAAGTGATCACCTTTTGCAACTTCCAACAAGCAAAGTCAATAGGGAAGCCAGACTTGCTTAACATCCTCATTACTAACTTAACAACTGCAATGATCCACTTAAAGATTGGAAAAATGGGCAAAATTCACTTAACAACTATCTCACTTAGCAACAGAATTTTGGGGCTCAATTGTGGTATAAGTCAAGGACTACCTGTTATGTATTTGAATCATGGTGGCAAGCGGGTGGGGGAATTTGTTATGATTGCCTTGTTACTGGAAATGTAAGGTGTAATATTAAGCATCTGATTTGGCCTTGTTCTACTATCCTCATATTTTAGCCCAGTATTGGCAGGATTATCATTATCATTATGATTAACACAGATTTGCAGGTTCTTCTTGGCTGCATCCATGATAGTTAGATTCAAGATATCAAGAACTGTGGATTTTATAGGCATGGGATAATCTTAACAGATTCTCCCTATAATACTAGAATAAAAATCTATATCCACTCATCTATAGCAAATTATTGTTGCTATACTGTAAATTTGTAAACTTTTGATTTTTTTTTTCACCAAAGGAGTAAGCAGTACTTTTTTCATGTGATCTAAATCCATGTTTGGGATAGTACTACACCTAACATAATTTTCAGACTCTTCATCTCCCTTTTAAAAATGGGGATTGCTACTTTTCAAGTTCTGTAGTTTCATAAATACAGGTAGTCCTTGATTTGTGAGCCCAAAATTTCTGTTGCTGTGCAAGACATTTCTGCACATGGGCCAGTTTCCAACTATCTGAATTTTGATCACATGACTATGGGGATGCTGCAACAGTCGCATGAAAAATGGTCCTAAGTCACTTTTTTCAGCCATGTTGTAACGTTCAATGGTCACTAAATAAACTGTTGTAAGTCAAGAACTACCTGTGCCATCATAGGTAATAATTTTATTTGTTTTCTTTTGTTAATAAGCTTGGCACTCCGGAGAGTTTCCTTCAACACTAGTTTTAATTTAAGGATGGGCTATCATGCATATAATCAGTGGCCTGCATCAAAATTAAAAAGCAGAGAAAGATGATTAATTCAGTGATGAAAAACAGAAGATTAAAATGTGGATGCATCTCAAGATAGTCAGAAAGGAGGACAGAATCAGAAAAAGGTTGCCTGCATCTCCCTGCTCCTAATTCTAATTCGTAAGCACTATCCCACACAATCCGGTTTTCTCCAATTAAGGGCCGTTTACAAAGGAAGCTTTCCTAACTCACATAAAAACTGCATCAGCACCTCACTTTTCCTTCTACCTTGGTCTAAAGCTCCCATGATCAGCAATAAGGGAGTCTTAGATCTTTTTCTCTCTTTCTGACTCAGGAGAAAATCTTTAATACTTTGATCATTCTCAGCATTATACGCAGACCCAAAAAATCCTAACCAAGCTGGCAGGAGATTGGCAAACTTCTGAGAGAAACTAGTCAATGAGGCTTTCCAAGAATGGCATGTACAATGTGAAATCCAACAGGTTTTATAAGTGACTTTCGGGGCAGCAAACATACCTGTTTACCTGTCTGGGCTGCAATTCTCCAACCCCACGTGGCTAACCCCCACCTTTTTTCGATTGTGGAGGCGCATTATCTTAAGCTGATCCAGTTCCTGTTGTGTGTGGTGGGGGGGGAGGGCTGGGAGATGAAATCTCTGCCACCTCTTCAAGTTGCCAAGGTTGAGAAACAATGATCTAAATCTCCTGCAACCTGATTAAATAAGGCAAATGAACATAAATCAAGCTTGTAATGCGGTTGATTTATTTGGTTTGAATTACTGTGGGGATTTTTTTCCCCTTATGTTCCCTGGAGATCATGAAGGGAGACTGAGGGAATTTAGCCTTACAAAAAGACACATGAGGAACAAATATTAACAGCACTTAAATACTAACCAGGATGGAGATCTTTATTGCCAAGAGAATGGGATACAAAATAATAATCTTAAATTACAGAAGGGGTGTCAAACTTGATTTCATTGAGGGCTGCATCAGGGCTGTTTTTGACCTCGAGGGGCTGGGGGTGCATGGCTAGGGGTACCTGTGGGGGCCCAGGCAGGGCTGGGGGGGGGGACCCACTTTTGCTAGTAGTTTGTTTTGCAACCCTCTGCCAGTGAAAATGGAGCTTGGGCAGGGATGTGTGTGTGTGCGCATGGCCCTCCTGAGCTCCATTTTTGCTGGCAGAGACAGGCCTGTCCTTCGCTATTTCCATGGCAACCCCGTGGGCCAGATCTAAGCATCCTGCAGGCCGGATCCAGCTCGCAGGCCTGGAGTCTGACACCCCTGAGTTACGAGAAGGGAGATTCTATCCATATGTTAGGAAAGCTTCTTGACAATTATAGAGCATCTAAGAGTATGTTTCCACTGGAAGCGATCTAGAAAATTCAATGACAAGCCCATATCTTCTTTTATCCTTTTAACAACCCTGCAGGGTAATTAGGCTGAGAAATGCATAAAGATCAAGTACAGCTAGTCCTCAACTTGCAACAGTTCTCTAGTGATCGTTCAAAGTTATAGCAGCACTGGAGAAAGTAACTTATGACCATTTTCCACACTTATGACCATTGCAACAATTGCATGGTTGTGTGATCAAAATTCAAATGCTTGGTAACTGACTTATATTTATGACAGTTGCAGTGTCCTGGGGTCACATGATCATCTTTTGTGACCTTTTGACAAGCAAATTCAATGGGGAAGTCAGATTCACTTAACAACCAGGTTACTAACTTAACAGCTGGAGTGATTCATTTAATAACTATGTCAAGAAAGGTCATAAAATGGGGCAAAACTCACTTAAAACTGTCCCACTTAACAACAGAAATTCTGGGCTCAGTTGCAATCATAAGTCAACACCTGTAACAAGAATCCCAGCCCTGTGACAGTGTACTCTGACTTTTTAATTTAGGGTTTCTTAGCCTATCTTTTTTCATTTTTAAGAAATATTAAATAGAAGTCATTCCCCTCTGCAGAACACAGAAGAGCTTTACAGGTAGTCCTCAAGTTATAACCACAGTTGGGACCAGAATTTCTGTTGCTATGTAAGGTAGTTTACAAATGAGTTGCACACAATTTTATGAACATTTTTGCCATTGATAAGTGAATCATACAGTCATTAAGCAAATCCAGCTTTCTCTATTGACTTTGCTTGTCAAAAGATGTCTGGGAAGGTTACAAATGGCAACCACATGAGTCCAGGATGCTGCAACCATTGTTAATATAGGCCAGTTGCCAAGTGTCTGAATTTTGATCATGTGAACATAGGGATGCTGGGGTAGTTGTAAGTGTGAGGACTGGCTATAGTCACTTTTTAAAAGTGCTATTGTTACTTTGAATGGTCGCTAAACAAACGGTTGTAAGTCAAGGACCACCTGTACATCACTGAAGTTTTGCATCTGATGGGATCAAAGTTCTGCTTGGTCTTAGCACTCCCCAAGGACTAGAAACTTCGTTTACTTAGAGATGATAGATATATCCAAGTAAACCAAGTTTCTAGATATGTGTGTGTGTATTTTTCTGAGTATAAAATGCACTTTTTCCACCCCAAAAAGTATCTGTGCATCTTTTTTTATATAAAAATTTTTATTGTTTTTTAACATACAAACAAACAGACAAAACATAAAAACATCAGCTCCCCCATATTTATATACAAACAGTGAGTCGGTTGGTTCATCAGTTTTGTGCATTCACTTCATAGTCACAATTACAATTACCTTATATAATAACTCTTATTGTCAATACAAACTTATAAATCATCATATCATTATTAAAAAAAAAATGACTATACTTTTATTCGATCATGCCTTTGTGAGATAACTATATTTTAAGTAATTTATTCTAAAACAAATCATATAATCATGCCAGTTCTATCCTAAATAAGAGAAGAAGAAAAGAGAGAAAGAAAGCCATTATATAAATGTGATATCCAATACCAAAAAAGAGAAAAGAAAAATGAGCTCAATATTATTCCTTATTATCTAACATTTCAAATATTCTATTTTTGTATTTCATCATTCAACCATTGATAGAAAAGATCCCAAATTATATAAAATTGTTTATCTTCTTGCTCTCTAATTTCAAAAGTCAATCTACTCATCTCAGCACATTCCAATATTTTCTTTATAACTTCTTCCTGCAAGGGAATTTTCTCATTTTTCCAATTTTTTGCAAATACAATCCTAGCCGCAGTCAATACATTTACAATCAAATATTTCAACTCTTTACTATAGACATCTGGTAGGATTCCCAATAAAAAAAACTCCGGTTTCAAGTCTATGTGCTTCTTTGTCATTTTTTCCAACCACATGTGGATTTTAGTCCAGTATCTGTGCATCTTATACAGTGAATGTTGCCAAAGCTCCACCCATCCACCGGCCCCCACCCTTTGGCCATTTCCTCCCAGCAATTTGCCTCCTTGCAGCAAACAGCCTGTTTCAGTTTCAGCACAGCCTGATTAGCACAAGTAGCTGATTGTCGGTTGGATCGGCCTCCCGATGATCAGCTGTTTCAGGCTGCAGAGATTGTCATTGCCTATTGCCGCCTCTGCATGGCCTATTTTTAACCTCTGCATCCCATTTTTGGCTGCCACGCACCCTGTTTTTGGCCCCTTCCAGGCAGCGGGACACATGGAGGCTGAAATCGGGATGCAGAGGCTGGAAATGGGGCATGCAGAGGCGGCAATAGGCCATGGCAGCCTGAAACAACTGATCGTTAGGAGGCCAATCCAACCGACAATCAGCTAATGTGCTAATCAGACCATGCTGAAGCTGAAACAGGCTGTTTGTTATTTGCTATAAGGAGGCAAATTGCTGAGAGGCAGAGGCAGATTTCCCCCCCTCCCCTTGTTTTTCTCCCCAAAAGCTAGGTGCGTCTTATACTTTGGAGCATCTTATACTCCAAAATATGGTACATAACAAAAAGGAGGTCTGTATCCAATGCTACATTCCTTGAAGTAAAGGGTACCATCCAATCTAACAGGCCTTGGTCTCTTTAAGGGCTTCTGGACCAGATTCTTCCCTGTATCTGAACAAATCCGTAACACACTGTGTCAGAAATCTCTTGGGAATTTAAAAGTGCTTCGAGCTCAAATGGCTGTTCGGATGGACGACATTCCAAGGTTGATAGAGAAGAAACTAGGTGGAGGTGTCATCCTGGATTTGGGCTGCTACTGCGTCCAGTTTGCCTCTATGGTTTTTGGGCCTGAAATGCCTCAATCGATTGTGGCCTCAGGATTGTTGAATAAAACAGGTAAAACTGAGCTGCTGCTGCAGTAAAGGAGTTAAATTAAATGTGGCTTGGTGGGTTCTTAAGGTAATCAGAATAACAGAGTTGGAAGGGACCTTGGAAGTCTAGTCCAGGGGGCTTGAGGGAGATGGCTTAGGTAGGCCACCTTTTCTGTGCCTTTCAGGAGTGGATGAAACCGTTTCCATCATCCTCAACTATTCAGCGAATCGTCAGGCTGTTCTTAACATCACCATGATGATTGACTTGCCAGGAGAAGCAACTATTGGAGGAACTGAAGGCATCATCAAGGTATTTGCTAAAGGACGGACAGTGTGGAAGTAAAGACGTCCTTCACCAGAATCAGATTCCAGGTGCTTCTGTGGAGATGGGACTAAATGCAATTGAGAACTGAGGGCAGGCAGATGAGTGACTTAAAAGCAGTGGGTAATTGGTCCCCCTCTCTCCCTCACTCCCTCTCTCTCATGCACACACACAAACTCTCACAGCACATTCACGTTGTATTTCGGTAGAAAGGAACATGGGTAAAATACAAACCATAGAATATGAAATCTGAAATTTTAACAGGAAGACTACAAAAGTATATCCAAGTTGCAATTTTTTTTTAGTTCATTTGTCGCAGGCAGAAAATCAGCAAAATAACCATTACAGGCTCTATTTTGATACTGTTTTTTGTGGGTTGGTGTGTTTTTTGGCCCCACAGTCACAATTCGGGGATAGCATTTTTGCCTCATTTACGGAGGGCATCTGTGCATCTATCACGACCCATACAAATTCTGTTCAGTGTTGTCCATATTGCACAAGGCTGGTGAAATCCAGGTGATTTTCCCAAGATGCAGGGAAAGCTTCAGCATTGATGTTACCTAGTTTGGGTAATGAAACATCTGCAGAAAACAACCAAGCTCACCAAGGACACCTCAATTTTTGAGAGAGCAGAAGAATCTGGCAAGATTTTAGGTGTGAGCAATAAATAGGAACTTGGGCACTGAGTGTGATGTAGAAGTCAGAAAATCTCATTAGTAGCTTCATGAACAAGGACATACATTCCATATCACAGCTACTCAAATTGTACGCCATGCAGGTAACAAAGATAATCAGATATGACTGAAGCCTGGGAAATGGACCCCCTTGTCAGTCAACAGAAGTGCTGATTTAGCACCAGCTTATAAGGTGCTTAGGAGCCAAGGACTTGGCAGCACAAGGAAACAACAGTCAATTGCTAGCTATTAACACACCATCAACCATTAGGAAGGAACCACATAACTTTGACAGATAGAATAGTCCAAAGTACACACCCCAGTAGATAACTTCTCTGAGGATGGGCGGAAGACTAAACCTCTGGACCAGGATTGGATCTTGCAACATTACCCTGGGATATTTATATTTGCCTTCATTCATGAGAAAATCTTTAGCCCATCTACAGCAAAGTTATTGTGATAACTTTAGCAAGCTATCCAGTTTCAACTAGCAGTTTCACACATTTTATCGTAATGTGCTTTTTTGCTTGGCTTAACTTGCTGAGTTTGGGGAACATAGCCAATTTTAGCTTGCCAATTATGACTTTATATGGCTTGACTGGTTTAACTCTATGATGTAAATTAAAATACAGTAAAAGAAAAATTACTGCTTCAAGATCCAGATTCTTTGAGTATCTAAAACATCAGTTACATCCTGAATATCAGCAGTCCAGTAACCAACAATCAGGTATCTCCTTCTCATACTAACAGTCATGTTAACCAATGGATAAATTGAGCACATCAATTCTTAGTAGGGCTGTATGACTTTTGTGTTATAGCTTAATAAATTAATTTGACTATGTTGAATATACATAATTATGGATTTAATGCTTTTTACTCTTTGCGTTTCAAATTGCAATACAAACACAATGGATATTGAATAACCTCTGGTTGGTGCAGGCTGGGTTGTAAATGTTACCACCACCTGCAGATTTTCAGAGCAGAGGTGACCTTTCAATTCTGCAATCAGAAAGACCGTCCTGCTTTTCTTCCTAGATCCCAGACAACATGAACAGCCCTACAGTTATGTTTCTGAAAGGGAACCGCTGGGAATGGCCATTGCCACCTTCTCCTGAGCGCCTCTACTTTAAGCATAATATTGGGTTTCGGTATCAGATTGAACACGTCCGAGAGTGTCTGGAAAATGGTAATTAGCGATGGTGATGGTGGTCCTGACTGCTCCTGGATGAGACTGAAGGTCTATTTAACCCTGAAGTTCTTCTTTGATTGATCCATATCTATTCCTCTTTTTAAAAAACACTTTTTAAAATTAGAAATTTAACTTGAAAATTTCCTTGCACTCTAGAAATTTTTAATATTAAAAGTCTGGAGACTGTAAAGGGACAATTCAACACCTTTACTGTATTTTAAGTACAGGCAGTTATGACAATTAAGCCCAAAATTTATGTTAAGTGAGACATTTGTTAAGTGGATTTTGCTCCACTTATGACCTTCCTTGCCAAAGTTAAGTGAATTGCTGCAGGTAAGTTAGTAACACAGTTGTTAAATGAATCTTGACTTCTCCATTGGCTTTGCTTGTTAGGTCACAAAAGGTGATCATATGACCCTGGGATACAGCAATGGTCATAAATACAAGTCAGTTGCCAAGTGTCTGAATCAAGTGACTGTGGGGATTCTGCAACAGTTGTGAAAGTGTGAAAAAGAAGTAATGTCAGTGCCATTATAACTTTGAACAGACATTAATAAGTCAAGACTACTTGTACTTGCCACCCACATTAGCCCCACAATGAAATAGGTGGCAAATACTTAACAAACTTCATGACTGACAGCTGACTTGGCAAAATATTTATCCCCTTTTCAGCTTCAATTTTGCCAAATACATACCATGAAGAGGTTTATCTGCATTTGTTCACTAAAACCTACAGCCTGAGCAGGGGCATCTCAACTTTTCTGTATATTTCTTTTTCCATTTGGAGTACTTTCTGTCTTGACCATAATTTTGCATTGAATTATTCGGTCTTCCTCCAATTGATATATTGCTATAGAATATTATATTTGTTGAATTTCTGTCTAAGTTGGCTCCTAAAAACCCACTGTAAAGTGATTTCTAAGACAATTTCAAATTGGTTGACATGAAGATCTAATGATCATGTGGTTAATAAATTAAGATGTTCCCATTTGAAGCGAAGGATAAAGCTTTTAATCTTCACACCAAAATTAAATTCTAGGAAAGGGACAGAGAACATATAGCTTCCATACAAAACAGAGGCTGAGGACAGTTAGGAGTCCAGCAATATGTGGCAAACCGTAAGTTTCTTCTTTGTGCAGGGTCTAATTTATTTATTGCTAATTCAGCTTGTATCTTCCATACAGGTTTGAAGGAAAGTCCTATCATGCCGTTAGAAGAGAGTGAAAGAATTGTCTGTATCATGGATGAAGCACGAAAACAGGTGGGAGTAGTCTATGAACAGGACCGTAATATGTAATGTTGAAACTGCCTAATAAAATGTTCAATTCTACCAAAAATTGTCTCTGCGCAATGGTTGCATTAATTTAAAACTGTCTGGTTCAGAATAGGCAAGATTGGTTTTGGCCTTTGAAAAGCATAAACTCCACGAAAATGTTGGCAGAAAGTGTGCTTCAAGCTAGGACCTTTAAATGACCTGCTTTTAAAGAGAGCCAACACGGTATTATGGTTAAGAAGCAGATTAGGAGCAGGGAAACCAGGTTGAAGGTCTTCCTTAAGAGGCATGGAAGCAGGCTGAGCTAGTTAATTCAAGTCCTACACAGAGAAATATATATATATATATCTACCAACTTGCATTGGGTCTGTATGGGAACAATGGGTTCAAAACGGTATAAAGAGGCTTTCATCTTACAATGGCTTGATTTGGGATGATTAAATCTTGTATAATTGAAATAAGCAATATTTGAAGAGTAAGCAATATTTTACATTAACTCTTGAAAGATTTCTGTTAAGAATGTCAACTTATTAGTTTATATAAGATTTCTGCATTCTTCCATAATGGAAGGCCTTGCGAGATGAGATTGCTGACACCCTGAAAGTTTCTCACTATTTTTTCCACGTAAGTATTTTGAGATGCTGGGGATTGGAAAAGTCAAGTCTAAAGATGCAAAAGTACAATATTTGACTCAAAGCATACATTTTAAGCTTGCTCCAGTTGCTAATCACTGCATCAGCAAAATGTGAATAGTTTAGGTAGACAGCATAAGATGATTTAGTGACTCCAATGCATTCGGTAAGAACGAAGACCAGATGAAGCTTCCATCGAGCTGCCTAGAACTAAAAATAATGTAATACTGCTGTTGGTAGCATTTGAATGATAGCTAACTTCATGGGATTATTCATCTATAAAAAGTTATTTGGAGCCTTGCTTCTGTGGTTTGGATATGCAGCCCTTGTGCCCACAATATGAAATCAGCATTTAATATTGTATTTAGCAAAATAATTTTAATTTTACTGTGTTGCTGAGGACCCACACTTTGAAAATCCCTTGGTTAGAGAACAGACACCCATACTGTCTTGCATCCTTGAAAAAAAATCTAGCTCAGAAAATCAAATACAGGTAGATAGTCCTCAATTTACAATGACCATTTGAAGTTACAACAGCACTGAAAAAAGTGACTTATGACCATTATAGTATCCCCATGGTCATGTGATAAACATTCAGACACCTAGCACTCACATTTATGATGGTTGCAACAAAAGTTGTAAAATGAAGCAAAACTCACTGAGTAAATGTTTCACTTAGCCACTGAAATTTTAGGTTCAATTGGGATCATAAGTCAAAGACTACCTACATTCATTCCCATCAACTGGAGCTATTGCTAAGAGAAAAAGTACTTGAAATGCTCCTTTGAATAATAAAAAAACTTAAAATATAATACAAGACTGTAAATAGTATGCTTTATTGTGGACTGAATCCTAGACCTTAATTTAAATCAAGATGCCATAATGCTTCAGGACATCTGTGTACTTAGAAATCTTGCTTTCCACATTTTTCTCTGCTTGCTTCCGGAGTTTCTAAAAAGGAGAAAGAAAAAAAGGGGCTCAGTACAGCAACAAGGTATTAACAGACAGGTTAAGTGCTAAATGGTGGAAATCCAATGCTAGGAAATTACACGACTTACTATCAGGGAACTCAAGTCACAGAATAATTCAGATTCCCTTCTTTTACCACCCGCTGGATAATTAGTAGTTTATCTTGGTGAAATCTACTTATTGCTTTTCCCCTTCATTTTTAATTTACATGTTTGGCTGTGCTTAAAAGCAGAACTGAAGATCTAAAGCCTAGCTAGAAAGCAAGAAATCCAACCATTTCCTGCTTCCTAGCTAATCTTAATCTCCCAACACAGCAGAACAGATGATGGTCGGAAAAAGGAAAAATAGCAATTTAGCAGGCAAGTTTTGCTGGGTAAGTAGTGGGCGGGGGAGGGTTCCCACAGGCCATGTGGGCTGCGCAGCCTTGTGTTTCTGTGCAGCCTGGATCAATTGCTTTGGAAGGGTGCTCTGGGGGTGAGATTTCTCTGCGGCCCACCAAAATTTTCTCACAGCCCACCAGTGGGCCACAGCTCACCGGTTGGTGACTGCTGTCTAGAACATCCTTCACTACAATTATAAGCTAAGGTTAACTCACCATAAGCTGTTTCTTCTTTGTATAATGAACCTTGGCCTTCTCTTTACGCTTCTCTTCCAGAGTGGCTGTAATGGCCTGGTACTTCCACCCAACCTCATGGGCAAGGCGGCCCAAAAAAGCAAACTATGTGGAAGAAAAAAGCAGCATTTTATGACCAGTCCAGCATCAAATTTTCACACCTTCTATTCTTGCTAAATTTCATTTTTCCAGATATTCCTATTAATGCTATTCCTAGTGCTCGACACACCCCAAACCGCACAGACAACTGAGCCTGTAGCATGGTCGTTATTCCGTTAGCAGAGTCCTTCCCAGCCTGTCTTAAGGTTGTGCCGGATCTCAATGGATTGGATCTCCAACCAGCATTGCTAGTAGAATCAGAATTCTTGTTCACCATCAGCCAGACTTGCTAACCAGAAAGCCAACTCCCTCAAATGTCATAGAGTATTACAAAAGGCAGGTCTCAGATGGTAGTGCATGAAACGTTGTCTCATGGTCTTGAAACTCGAAATATGGTGGAATGTCATCATCACAGACCTACTTACATCAGTACCTTAACAAATGTAGTATACTATCTCTCAACTAGCTAGTAAGGCCAAGATTCCAAATCAGCACCAATCTAAAAATGATGCTGTAGGAGAAAATACTACTACTATAAGAGCAGTGATAGTGCAGTGATCAGAATGAACTATTGCAGGCTGACTCTGCCCACAACCAGGAGTTCAATCCTGACCCGCTCAAGGTTGACTTAGCCTTCCCTCCTTCCCAGGTCGGTAAAATCAGGATCCAGATTCTTGGGGAGAATATGCTGATTCTGTAAACCACTATGAAGTTGTATATGTTTGCTACATTTTCAGGCTGAAAACTGATCTGGTCAGTAATGTCAATTTTCTTGCCTGATACCATCTAAACAATGAAGGGGTTTCCAAGCCCTCCGATCACCTTTTCTCACCTCAATTCTTTTAGCCAGAGAAAAGGAGCTTCTGAAATCATATTTGCATATTTAACATAGGAAGCTAGGGGTCTTCTTTAATTTAGAATTTAATGGCAACAGACTGTCAAGCAAAGAAATAATGTACTAAATTCCTACTATTAATTCTTAAAAATAACAATTACCTTGCGTGTGGGTTTGAGACGGACCACTTTCAGAGCAGCTGGGACGACCATTCTCTTGCGCTGCAAGAAAAAACATACCATTAGCAATACTTGCATAATGAAAGCAGCTCTGAGCAAAATTAGGGATGCTCAGATCTGTCTCAGTCTTAGGGGTTTTTTTTTCTCACATCTTAAGTCAAACAATGTAGGTAAAAAAGAACATCACTGACAGAACAGGAAGCCAAGGAGTCAAGATAATTTCTCCTCAACATCAAGAAGTTACCTTATCATAAGGTGGAGGGATGCCATCAAAAACCTTCAGCCTCTCTAAGGCAGCCTGACCACGTTTGGTTTTGTGAGGGAGCATTCCTAGTGGAGTGAGGGGACAAATGGGAAAGGTGTACAGGGTTAGCAGAGACCCTCTAATCTGACCTCTTACAACATATAGGTAAATGTAAATAGTTCCCTCCTAATTAATATCTGCAATGCTGAGCACAATGAAGCAGGACTAAATGTGATTATTGAACGAACATATACAAAAGTAACCTGGATTAGAACTACTTTACTCCACCCCCAATTTGCTCATTTGGATCCTTTAATTGCTTTGAATTACAACTGTTGCAACTGCCAAACCACAGGGGCATTGATCATAATCTGAGAAGAACGGGTTAAGAAATGCTAACCTCATTCAAACTGCACATACAAAAATGGCAATGTGGACTCCCACTAAGTACCAAATCACATATTCCTCAAATATGTGCAGGGATTTTGAAAATGTAACTTGTTCTTTTTTAAGGGATCAGTTGTTTTCAAGGTGAAAATAACACTCACCTCGAACTGTTCTCCAGAAGATTCGACTGGGAGCACGGAAGTGATATGGGCCACGGGATGGGTTGGTGTTCATACGCTTGCGGAGGAAAGCAAGGTATTTCACTGAAAGAATAGAGACCGATAGAAAAGGGCTTAGATCAGATCAGAAAGATTAGTGTGAGCTGAACCCCACAGACAACACAGCTCATTCATATGTTTAGTTGCTAAATGGAAGAATCAAATTTCCATACTGACAAACAAAATCATCTACTACATTTATGAAGAACTACCTTCAGAATACAGGAACTTCCCATAAGAAAACTATCAGGTTCGTGTAAATGACAATGTAGGGACTTTGGAATCCTCACTTTACTCTTAAGATTCTTTACTATTAAATATATTAATAATGGGTGCATCCAGATAATTTCTTTGCAAGCTGCATTGATTGCCAATTGGTCTCCAGGTAAAATTAATTGGTCAGCAATGAAGAAGCCTTCCCTGGCACAGTTACCTGTGGGACAGTCCTCTCTTCAGTTATATCTGTTCATCTTCTTAGATCTAGTGCAGTGGAAATACTCCCAGTCCCCGTTAAAATTACATCTTTTTATGGGGCCTCAGAAATGTACCTCCTCTTGCTGCACCTGGACTGTTTGAACCCCTCTTCCCCTATAATCTCCATGGATCAAGCCTCTTGCCATCTAGGAAAGCCCTTTCAAAACATGGCTTTTTCACCTGGCTGAGATTGTTTATATGGATGGAATAAATGAATGAATTATCCCTACATTGTATTCCTCATCTTAAGCAACTGGTGCCACGATGCCTTAAATTCAACATGGAAAAAAGAAGGGAAGTAGCACCAGCAGTTCTCCTTTCGGAACCTATGCAAATCCTATGGGTGGTTACAGAGTGAAGAAGGCTGTTCTGAATAGGCTGGTGGTCTCAGATGG